CTGAAACTTAACCAACTCATGGGTCTTCCTGGTTAAAATGCTGCCAAGGAGGCACATAGACAGCAGGCAAGAAGCGTTACTGAACCGCACGTGCCTCAGTGGGAGTCTGCAAGAGCCGAGGGATGGACAGTGTAACCGGGAGTGGGAACTGTCTCCTCCCTGAGGGGGCGAGAAGAGGGGCCCATACAGCAGCCCCACAGAGCCGTCTCAGGCGGCAGGGAGTGCAGATGCCTGAGGAGAAGCGTCTGCCCCAGGGACAACCCAAAAGCTTTCTCAGTCCCGCTCAAAGCCAAGAAACTTCTTAAGATAATGAGAAAAAGCAAAAAGCCTTTGCTGTTCCTTCTTCGAGTGGTGTGGGAGGGTTTCTCCTTCACACTCAGAGCATCACTGTCTTCCCAGGCTTTACAGTTGTAGTTCTCGGTTTTATAGGTCTTCAACTCCGTGATCTCAGAAGTATTTGACAAGTCCCTGGTAAAGTAGGACAATCCCATTATCTCCATTTTTTTCCTGGGAACGCGCAGGACTTGCCTGAGATCACACAGAGGGAGCGAGTGGAGGAGTTGGTATCTCTGCCAGTTCCTGCTGGGATCATAGGACTGTCGTGTCTCCAAAGAACTTCCTCTGTCGTCTTCATCTTGGGGAGGTTGTTTCTTACCAGGGGCTGTTACGTGACATCTAACACCTTCCTGGTGATTGCATTTGATAAGGGCTGATGATAACGATACAGATGCTCCACTGTTCATCGTGGCTTCTCCAGACCTCTGAAGACACAGGCAAAGCCAGCCACCAAAACCGAATTTGTTTGCTTATTTGAGGCGAATGAATTGCCTCTTGCGTACACAGTGCAGTGCTAATGCCTTTATTATGGGCATTTCACTCCGGCTAACGCAAGACATCAAATAAATGCCTCATAAAGAGTTTCCTCTCTTAAAACAATTCAGATCACAATGTTCTCATTGTGTCATGGCCTGATGTATTAGCAAAACGTTTGTGCTTCCCGACTCCGCTCCCTGCCTAGCAGAGAGTCAGTTGTGTTTGGAGCCGGGGCGGTGCTGCGGTGATCACGGTTTGGAGCAGCGCGGGCTGCCCTACTTTCAGTCCCATGTGCTTCTTCTCACGTAAGATTTGCACACGTGTTCACACGGGGTTGGAAATTTTCTTGTGCCTTTATATTTAATTTAAGGGAAAATATCTTGAATATTCCCTTTTACTCCTGGCCCATCAGAATTTGTGTCCCAGTGGGATTCAATGTGTAACGAACTCCCTTTGATGCTCCAAGGAGTCGTCTGCCTTGAGAAGGGAAAAGAGCTCAAAGCCTCAGCCACTTTACATGGTGATGGGGGAAAGAAAGCCCTTCTTCATGGGCTGTACACTTGCTCCTTGCAATCTTCTGGCTGTATCAACCGCGCTAAATGCTGCCTTTTTGCCCTGCTTTCCATGAAAATACAACCAAGAGAACAAGCTTTTTCTGTCTCTCTGCCTGCCCTGTCA